AAACTACAGTCATCTACAAGCTTTGCAAGTGGGAAAACCTGAAAAATCAACAGTGTATCAAATGCTTGTTCTCCCCACTGTAAATGTGATTTTATATAAAGAAACACTTCCACCCACATACACTATAATCTTGCAATTTTTCAAATAATGGTTTTGGTTTAATAATCAAAGCCTTGGYTACTTGATTGATCTGATCCATGTTAAGTGCCTTTTAAACAGTCACTCTACACATCTACACTGTGACATTTGAAAAGAATGCTTTTAAAACTACTGGTTATGTTCAATTATTGTATGAAATATTTTTTATGGTAACAGAAAAATCTTGAAGTGGAAAAAAAAGGAGGATCTTCATAAGAAGAAATCTAAAATGGTTTATTTATACCACAACATWAACAGGGCACGTATTCCTCCGGAGCTGGACAGCTGATTGTGCACCAGACTTGGAGCTCATTAGAAAATGTATGAAGTTGTGGAACAATGAGCTTCTGCTCAGATGTTTGTGTGATTTTTATTTTGTCTGTGTGTGTTTGTACAGAGCGCAGGCCTGAATAAGCCTGAGTGGACGCTGCGCATCGTCACTGACAAGAGCACACCAGAGAGCATCAAGGTGGAGAGGGACACAGAGAGATTAGACCAGATTGAGAAAATTAAGAAGGACTGGGAAAAGGCTGAACCAGGACGGAGTGTCAAGGTACGCTAGAGAAAAKATCATTATATTTTCTATTTCCACAACAAACTGCAGCAAACTGGAAACAATTAAGATAATGTTTTCACACAGAACACTATCGTACTCTGTTTTAGGCTTCACAGTCCCGTCTTCGCTTCACCAGCCAAATTAAACAACAAGAAAATGGAGCTGCTTCAGATGAAACCAAAGACCGTGGTATTATTGTACAAATACAGAAAAACTTTGAGCATATTTTCCTTCTCTAACCTGTCGCATACAATTATTGTTTTTGTCACAGCTCCATCCAGATCTGATCCACATCCTCCTCTTAGACCGTCCTCACCTCACAAGGACTACACTCACCTCATCAGGTTGGCTGCTAGCTTTAAAACGGGTTCTCCCCCTCCTATTTGTGGTTCTGTTGATGTTGTTCCTGGAAAAGACAGACTGGGTATAAATAAAACCAGAACCAGCATTGCTGTTGTGCCTCTCTGCTTTGCTTTTAAAAACATTCAAATGCATTCCTGTCCTGAAAGGTCAACGATAAAACTGAATGTAGAAAAAAACTATCTCTTGAATAAACTTCATTATAACCAAGTCAGTTTGGCTTTTTAGTTTTGCAGAATTGGTATAAGCTATAGTTGCACACATGACTTGGTAGCGTTAGACAATTTTTATGTTTTTGCACATTTGTGTGTGTTCAATGCACAATGTCGTATTAGTGGACATGAATGCATCTTGTTCTCAGAAGCAGAGAGGATTAAAAAGTGTTTGCTGGACTTCGTGACTTTCTATGACCTTTGCTCTCATCGGTGCGCAGAATGAGTGTTACTCTTGTTCCTTTTCTGACTTTGCTTTACAAGACCACAATACAAACTTCAGATTCATACTGTGTGTTTAGATTGTCAGTTGCCATCAATTAATTTTGTCAGATTTTTGAAGGGAGTGGTCATCCTCCACAGTTCCGTCTGACTCTTCCATTAGTCTCCCTTATGCCATCTCACATTCCCTCCCTCCATCCATCCCTTTCCARGATAAATGAGGTGATATTTGGGTCTGTTAATTAGAGAGCTATTTCAAGGCCCCATTGAGCTGGTTGCACCAATGAGATGTGGCCYCTTCCCATCACCTCTTCATCCTCCCCTGCTGTGCGGTTGTGTGTAGCTCTCACACATGTTTATGTCCAGCACCTAATGTCTGTYGACACTGTGGCCTGCAATCTGAACCCGGTCAAAGATCCCCAGGGGCAGTCTGTTAGGGACATTGGATTAGCCTGCATTGTACAGTACTTCTCTTTCTTAAATGGGGCACCTTTCTGCAACACAGAAATRCACATTTGTACACACACACWCGTTTGTTTGTCTCTCCTCATGGGGACTTTGCAYTGACTTCCATTCATTTGCCGGTCATTTCTACACACTTCTAACTCTGACCTTTACCCTAACCCTAACCACCCCAGTACATACCTGACTGGAAACCTGACCTAAACTCAGTGGYGGGCACAGTTCCCCTAAAGCACTAATAGGGGAACTAATTTCCTGATTAGTGCTTTAGGGCTTTTGCTAATTTTAAAATGTATTAGTGGATTAGCACTTGCTAAACTTATAGGCTAWATTTAGAAGCACTAACTRAGGYCTTTAAATGTTATTTATCAACATTATTGTTAACAACTGAAGGTGAAAGCTGTCACATTTTGTTCGTGTGTGTGTCACTTATYCACTAGGTGACAATATATAAACACAAATACAGCTGTAGAATGTCAATGATAAGTATTAAGAGAACAACTTGACAATATGTGACTCATGTTGTATTTTGAAGAAAGTTCATGGGTTGTTTGGGTAATTTTAGTGCTTTAGAATTAGCTAAATATTTGAGTTAGTGCTTTAGGGCTAGTGGAACTAAGTTTTAGATTAGTGCTGCCCACCACTGCCTAAACTCAGTTCTTTACTTAGTCCTAACTCTAACCTCTGACCCACCAACAGTATTTTTCTCAATGGGGACCAGACTTTTGTTCGCATAAAGAACAGTGGGTCCTCACAAGGCTATGTGTACTGGGGAAATAATCAACCCCCCCACACACACGCACATGTTTGCACAGCTATCCATTTGGGGACATTCCATTGRCTTCCATTACATTTCTACAGCCTAACCCTGACCACAAACCCTAAGGCTAACCTCACAGGTACCTACCTGACCCTAAAACTAACCTAAACTTAATTCACACCTTGGTCCTAAACCCAACCCCCAACHCACCAATGGCATTTAAACCAAATGGGGACTTGACTTAGGTCCCCAAATGCACCAGTTGTCCCCAAAGGTAGGCATTTTTCCTTAAAATTGCCCCCAAATGTCACCAAAAACAACCCTTCCCCCACACACACACACACTCACTCTCTGTCTCTCTCGCTCTCGCTCTCTCTCGCTTTTGTCCACACTTTCCTGTGTGGTGACAGAGGTTGAATGAGGTCATTGCTTATTAACCAAATGAACTCCATCATCACCTTCACTGGCCTTACTCTTCATTAATGTCAGCTTATAGGAAGCAAGCAATGACATTTAGCTTCAGTCCTTGTTTTAGTCTGTCAGACCTGCTGCATGTGCACCTCACAAACACTCCACAGCTTCTCTTTTTGTCCTCAACAATATTAGGAGTACATCGTCTGCAAAAGTGAGGCTTCCAGCTCTTAAACTTCATTCTTCTATATGATCAGAACATCACAGTGCAGACAGTTCACATGCACAGTCTCATCCTCAGCAATGACTGCATTCCACAGTTTCTACAAGTCTATGCAGAGAACCTGTATCAAATCAAAGTCTTGCACTTTTGGATGCAAAACTAGCTTTGATAACTACATGGGCAGCTAAACAAAAACAATTAAATGCTAATCTGCTTGTAAATTATAACATAACGTATCAAATTACTTTGTAAACTCTTGTGCATACTGTACATGTAGACACCAGAAAGATTTTCCAGTCCTGATGGACTCGCAGAGAGAGGACGCCCAGCAGAGGGAGCGCTTTGAACACACCCAGGCCTACCAGTTAGCACGCAATAATGTGCTGGAGTTCCATGAAAAGCAGATGTCTGCGCTGCAGGAGTTGATGCGACATCAGCTGGAGACGTATGAGAACATGCTGGTCAGTGAGACAGATGCATGTTTTGTCTGAAACCGTCTGTAGAAGAGAAGAGTAATGAGCTGTTTTGACTATCAGTGMATTCGTCAGCTGCCTCAGACATCATCCTGTCACTTCTTTCTCTTTGTCTCGTCTCGTAGGCTGGGAGCGAGAAATTATTTGATGCTTCTAAAGTATTTAGAGACTGTCAGCTGGCATCTGTGAAAAAGGAGCAAGAGGAGAAAGCAGCACTGGAGGAGGACCAGCTAAAAACGACTCCCACCTCTGCTGGCGCTCAGCAACCCAACAAACGTGCCAAGAGTGCTGGACAGAAGAAATGATGCACCGACAGCCTCTGTTCACCTCAGCAAGTCTGCTTCAACACTGAGGAATCAAAGTAGTTGTAGCATCATTGCGTGTTCTTCATTACGCAACATCAGAACAAAAGTTTGATCACATAATTCAGAGCTGCTTTTTGTGTTGTTTTCTTTCCTGTTGACTTTTCACAACATTAAACTTTACTGTAAGCAAATGCTGTTAATGTGAGATATTCATAGTGTTACTAAAGTTTATTTAAACTACAACGCAAGACACATTTATTATTTTATTGTGGTTAAACAACTTTGAGTGTACATACTTTTTATCATATTTTATTAAATATCTTCTAATTTCAAATGTAAAAGTTGTGGTGAACCTACATGTATGGACGTGCATTTAAAATAGACTTATTGATAAAGAAGATATTTTGTTTTTAATAAACTAAGCGTGTTCAACCCAAATGTTAAAATATTTTTATTGGTGGTTTTTACACGCGTGGAGAGGGTTTGTAATTATTTATTTTAATTATTTTACAGAGAAATGTGTAGGGTCGCATTTTATAATTACACCTTATTTAGCCTTATTAATAAATGATTAATTGACCTTGAAAACCTCAATAATTAAAATGATTCAAACTTAATAAACACATTTATTAATGCTTTACCCAAAAATGGTAATTACTTCCAAACCAACACTTTGTTTATTATTGCTTAATATTCTCTATACTGTGTTTTTATGTAAAGACTTCCACTGCTGTTGAAGGAGAAGTCAGAATCCCCCGTGTGCTTGATTATATTCTGCAAATGTTTTGTTTTGTTGAAGGTCACTGTATCGACTGCATGACTCAAGTCGTGGTGGATGGAGCCAACCTCCCACAAGCCGAGTGCTGCTGATTGATTGGTCAAATGGACAAACAGTAGTCCTGCTGAAGCCTGCCACCGTCACTTTCTGCAAGATGAATGAAGGCTGCAAGAAAGATGCAACACAGGCAGGTTGGCTGATAACACTTCTTGTCAAATAAATGATAGACTATTTATTGCCTTTGCATTCAAATGCACCACTCAGTAATTTTTTAGAAAAAACGCACACCAACCAATATGTCTGAGTCAGACAATAATAACCTGGGAGAAACTCAGCTCAATTCCTAAAAAATAGTGATCACTTTTAAGACTATTTTTAGGTTTATGATTTGCAATTTGTAATGTAGCAAATAAATCMGATAAGATAAAGTGCCTTTTATCTTAAAGTGCATCTCGCCCTCTATCCAGCTGAGAAATGAGGAGGGAAATTGGAAATGAGAGGGAGGATGGTGCCATCTAGTGGCTGCAGCTATGAATTCTTATTAAAGCATCTGCATTTGGTTGGGTCAAGGCAGCTTTAAGTTGCTGCATGAAGCAAGTTGTCACTATGCTGCACATGTATTTGCATTTTATCAGAGAGGATGAGAAGTTTTATTTCTTGACAAACCTCCTGCAGCATTCTGCTCCAGAGCTTTTTTGACGGCACTTCTGACAACTCAGAGATTGGAATTCTTTGCAAAGAAAAAGCTGTTTATTATGAGCCTGGATCAGGTGGATGAGTTAAAGCTCGTATGAAAGGATGCTGTGACTCAAACACCTACACAACCTCTATCCATCCATCCATCCATTTTCTTCCACCTATCCGGGGTCGGGTCACGGGTCAGCAGCTTCAGAAGGGAGGCCCAGACCTCCCTCTCCCCAGCCACTTC